CAGAAAAGCTCAGCATTAAATACATACGTTGGCCACAGTCGCATCAAGGCTAGTCTCGTAGTATCAGCGCGAAGGAAATATCCAGGCCGACACAATACTAATGGTTTATTGATCTCTTTGTCTACTGTAAACGTTTGCCAGAAGTATTCCTATGCTGTGATAAATTAACAATAGAGGGAGCTGTAATTATGTGCGATGGCCACTAGAGGGCAGTGTGTACAATTGGAAGCAAACTAATCCAATTGATACGTGTTCCCCATAGATACAAAGCATAGCTATGGAGTGCCCTCTGGTGGTCATGGTGGGTAACTGCATTATCAAGTTAGACAAAATGACATAGTAAAGTTCCGGTTAACACTTTCAAAGTAAAACTTTGAAATAAATATTAAGATGTAGGTACGCACTGTGGCCACTGGAGGGCACTAACGACTCATTACTTCTTTTCTTATAATGTACACTACTATATACCAACAAAACGGGGATATAACTTCAGAGTTTTAAAAGTAATTAAAAATAAATAATGATAGACTGAAATTAAATGATAGAATCTGACTATTTGAACTACTTCAGGTTTTGGGAAAGTTTTTCCCAATTGCTGGTGTCTCATCTCATAATCATCATCATAGTCACCATTACCTCTGCACATCACTACAGATTCAGGTTGGTCAAAAATCCTACAAAGATCATCCCTTTATCCCTGTTTTCTATATTCTTTGCATGAACTCTTACATTACCTGATCAATATAAAGAGTTTGATAGGGCATCTACCCTATCTCTACTATCCTTCCCTTTGATAATAATCCTCATATCAGAGGTATTACGCATTGTTAGTAGCATAGCATATCTCTATATAATTAAACTTAAGGATGAATCAGTAGCTGTTTTCCTCTTAGACAAAAATAAATACACAACAAAAGAAACAAGATTATATATGGCGGCACGTTTTGAAAAATATATCACATTTTTTTAAATTGATCTTTCTCTTGTGTTACATATGAATACACAAGATTCACTTTCTTTTTCATATGAACACACTAGATTCACTTTCTCGTAAAAGCAAAGTTGACCACTTGATATTTTCAAGCCTTCTTTACATACCACTAATTTAACACAGGGTGGCAGCATTCTCCAGTCTAGGGCTCTGAAATAGTAAAACTGAATGTAAGGTGGTTGGTTTCCATGGTTTCTATCTTACCACAATATACTCATATGATGTGCGTGAATACGTAAACAGAACAAGAATAATGAATATTAACAATGAATAATCTGCATTGATAAAGTCACAGAATTTTGTGAAGATTTTTTTAAGGACCAAACACCTGAGAAGAAGAATACACAAAATATCAAATGACATTCAACAACACAACAGCCACAATTTAGCACAAAAGAAACAGCAAACAACAAACGTAAAAGAAACAAGAGCCAGAATTTGTTTCAGTCTTAAGTCATCGAGAAAGTTTAAGCACTATGTGATGATGAGTCACATGCAAGATCTCCTGAGAAACTACAGAATGTAAATTTTCATCCCGACAGCTGTTTTCATTTTTTTTTAAATGTCAATCCCTCGAGGTGAACAACATCTGAGCATCAAAGCTTTACCACCCACAATAATGTCCATATTTAGTCCGAGCCACGGTCAGCGGCAGGGCTGTGTTCATTCCTTAAACATTACGAAGCACTAATATGTGTACAAGCTGCACCATTCCAGCCTGCTTTCCTCACAATCCCATACTTTCATTTTGATGATCAAATAGTTTTCAGCTTCAAAAGAATCCTACAGAACTAGTAGGCTTTGAACAGTCCAGCAGGGGCCTGATCCAGCTGCTGCCTCCACTACTACTGTAACTTCACTGTGTTCCTTTCCATGCAGCTCCAACCTGCCAGACGCTTACGTAAAGTGTTTTCATATGAAACACATTTTGGTGACGTCAGTGGAATGTCCAGTCGATGTTCCAAATTAAATCTTGTGTCACAAGGGAAGTTTGAAAATCTGCAAAAACAACCCTTTACTTCTGAAATTACGTTCGGTCCAAACTGTGCCAGAGGCAGACGTCTTGTGTCAGGCATCCTCGGTCAGCTTCTCCCGAACACACAACATCTGATTTATGAATTAATGTTTTGTATCCATTGAGATTTAAAATTATATTTCTTCAACTTTAAACTTCAAACAATTCTGCATGCTAAACATCAGCCTTTAAGTCACTGATTATTCAGAGGAATTGGAAGAGAGAAAAAAAGATCCCCATACAACAGGGGGCCTCTTTGTGCCAGATCACATTTCTGAGTTCAGCAGTCTGAGTCACTAAGAGGCGACTTTAGTGACTCAATGTTACTTCCTGTAATCCAAAACGGCCCCGAAAGAACTCAGACCCCACAGCGTGTTGATCCAACGAAGAGAAACCTGACGAGTCTGCCGCACATGGTCCGCTGTTTTTATTTTGTGAGACACGATGGGTGTAAATCAGGTCATCTATGTCCACTGCTGACAGATGGACAGTAACTGGGTGGTGTGGTGTTGACTGAGCAGCTGGATGTCTGTCCAGAATATCAGTGGAGGCTCCGCAGAGAGTTTAATCCACCAATTTGTATTTCTCTTTGTCGACTGCTGGATACAGACAGACAATAAACCAGAACATTAGTCTTGTTTCTATTTTGTTTGTTTGTTTGTTTCTACTTTCTGCGCTATTTCATGTCTCTTCTCTCCCATCTCATCTCATTCTAATCTACTTCAACATAATTTCTAATTTAATGTAATACCAACTCTAATCTAATAAAATCCAAAATCATCTCATCTCCTTTGTGATAAAAATGAGATGTGACATAAAGTAATTCATCGAATGTAATCTTAAATTTAATGTAATTTTATCTAATTTAATATCTAATCTGATTCTCATCTAATCCCATCCCGTCTTCTAATCTAATGTAATTTATATGAACGAATCTCGTTTTAGTTCTATCTCATCTGTATTATAATGTAAACCATCTGATTTCATCTCAAACGTACCCTCATTTAATGTAATCCAGTTTAATCCCATCTCATCACATGTAATATAATCTCATATCATGCCTTCTAATATATAATTTAACTCATCACATCTCTAATCTGATGAAATCCAATCACATCTCATTAGAACTAGTCTCAAAATTCTGCCTGCTGCATCACAAAGCTGTTTTATTTAATCTAGAGAATACAGAAGCAAAGAAGAACCGCTTCACTAAAGGATGCTCGTGTTTAACTCACGACAGGAAAGCTGCGCACAGGAAATGGTGTGTGTTGTTTGTGGTCAACAAGAAGGTGACACAAAACACAAAGATGGTTCCTCATCTGAAACCGTTTGTTTAGCTTTTTCCAGGAAACCAGCTCCAGTGCAGATGAGAGAATCAGATCAACAGCATCTCCAGTAAGTGATTGATTCCACATGGGATTCAGTGGAAGAGCTCGATCTGAGTCACCAACGGTAGACTACGGCAGCAACAACACACCAATCGACGTATTTGGCACAAATCTGTCAGGTGGTAGTTTCACTGGTCCTGTGATTTGTATTGTGACTCAGAAAACTCAACATTTAATGATTTCCTTTTGTCTACCGTCAGCAAAAGACAGCAAAAGTGAAGAGAGACGTCTGTACAGCAACTTTCTAATGTTATTTATTTTGGTCTAAACAGTCTCAGGAGACACATCGAACTCAACATTTAGCATTTAAGAGTCATCTGCTAGTCACATTTTATCTAAAGGTCAAAATGTCATCATGCATCCGAGTTGTGTGTCGCTGTGTTTGCTCTTTTGTGTCTCCAGAGGCCGAACACAGGACCATTAAGAAAACCGTCACTGAACAAAGATCGTTCAATGCTGAAGTTACTTCTGGCCTGAAATGAGCAATTAAAAAGTCTTAAACCTCGAGGACACGACTAAGTTCTACTTCACGTGTGTCTACATCTTTCTGTGTCAATCTATAGAAGTTGTTTGACAGTAAAAAGGCTCCGTTAACTGCTAAATTGCTAAACTAACCAGATTCCGTATAATTGAGTCATTTCTGCCACACAGACTCAGATGTTTACCTTTCCCATGAATGTGTTCAGATATAAACTGTTTGCCAAATGTGTTTTAAGTTTCTGTGAATTCCACAAACACTCACATTCATAAACCACGGATGGACAATATTATTATTCATATAAGATATGATGTTAAGTTATTTACCAGGCAGTTTATCCTGAAACACACTTGTGGGTATTTCACAAGATGTTATTCTTTGAAATTTTTCTCTCAGTCATGTTGGTGCAGTCAGCAGAAAAACATGTGAAAGTGCATTTTCCTCCTCTTTTTTTCTGTCCTTGTTTGAACTGTGCAGCCCACAGTGTTTAGAGAGTAAACACACGGCATCTGTTTGTAACAGGCACTACAGTCTGAAGCAACCTCAAAGCCGAGCTCTTCTTCTGTCGGATAACTGAAACACATGAGTGCAGCGGCTCTGAAAAGGCTACTGACTTAACATATTTACATCCAGGACGTATTTCCCCAGAATAACCTCTGACGTTACCGGCAGCAGTGCAGTTAAAAGAGAAATCCTGTGACTGCTGAGCTACTACGCCACATACTTTCCTCACGAAAGGAATGCTGCTGCTGCTCCCGAGTCAGACAGAGGGAGGGGCTCGCTGTTTTCTCCCAGTTAATGCACACTTTGGAATACCTTGTACCATAAAGGAGTCTACTTATAGGGGGGGGCGACAGACTGAGAGAGTTTAAGACTTCCTTTTTGAAAACTTAAAGTTTTTCCTCCAGTATTCCCGGCTAATATTAGCCACATGAGCAGACTTTGTACCGATTAGTTTTGTAAAGTAAGCAAAAGCAGTCTCCAGCAGCAGGCTCTCTACCTTCTATTTATGGCGCCCCCCCCCCCCCATTCCCAGACTGACGTCAGCAGAAAGTTATTTTCATGAATGGAGGGGGCGGTCACGAGGAATCGGTGACGTGAGTGCTTGCGGAAGCAGAGCGTGGAATGTTGGTACATTGTTGTTGTTTTGTAGTTAATTCAGTACGAGGCTACACCGCTGCCCGTCTGCTGGACGCTTCACACCGACTGTGTCAAGTTACTCCGCCGCCTGTATCGGAAACCTACTCCGCTAGTTTTTACGCATCACGGTCCACAAATATCCGAGTCCACAGAGGTGAGCTTGTGTGTGTGCGTGTTTTTTTTTTTTCTTCTGGGAAGATGTTTTGCCATGCCTTTTTTAAATTGCTGAAGTTGTCACAGAGACATATTGGCGCATGCAGATAGGAGTATGTTGACCACACGCGCCACTCATGTACGGTTTTGATCCTGGTCATGAAAGTTGATGTTGACTTTGTAGCATGTTTCAGTCGCGTGGACACGTGTTGTGTTAGAGTAACATAACACAATGCCCAAAAAAGTTCTGAGTAGTCGCGTGAAAAAAGTAGGGCACAACATTAAAAAGTGTTAAAAAAGAGCAGTATTTGAATAACTGCTTTTGTTTTTACTTCATTTTTTTAGGAATTTGAATCAGCCTGGTATTTTTTTTAAATAATTTAAGTGGATGTATTGTCTCAATGAGTGAAAGCATTCAGGAAAGTATTTTATACAAATTATATTAAATATATAAGTCTAAATCAGTAGATTAATGTTTGTGCGATGTTTACAATGTTAGCCTATAATATGTATTACGGTTACTGTTAAAAACGCCCTCATGTATTACTGGGCGCCACAGAGCCAGTATAATAAGTTGTTTCAAGATTTTTTTTAAAAGGGGAAAAAAAAGCGGTTTTGGTTATTTATAGCCTTCTTTCTGTCACTCGACTGACCTTAGCTTTTTTTGGGGGGGAAATGGAAGTGAAATAAACTTCCTGACTGCCCTCGTTTAAACTTTAACTATGTCATAAACAACATTCTCACATCCCCTTTAATTCTGCCGGTCTTGCTGATTTCATTTCGGGATTTAATTTCGGCTTCTGTGATGCAAACATACCAGCCTACCTTTGACATTGGAAATAACACGTGGTCAGCATTTTAGGCATGTGGAACAAAGGGCACGATGAGAAGTTAGACCACTGGGGCTGACTGACCTACAAAGGAGAAACAAGCAGTCACCAAACAGCAGGAGCAGCACATATTTCCACAAACAACTCACTAGTATTATCTTATCTCCATGTTTAGCCATCATTTCTGGTCTACAGTATTTATGACAAGAGTAAAGATAAGGAAACTTGTTTTGAATAATTATCTGATAATAACAACTTTACCTCAGAAATAATACTGCTGACTTAATTTAAAATAACTTGGACTTGTGACCTTTTAGGGCCATTGTGATTCATTTATGGAACGTATTTGTCTTTGAGTAACTTGTTTCACTTAGATGGTCACAGATTTCTATCTCAGAGGCTTTTGTGATTCACTGTTTCGGGTGGGTGCACACAGTGTCTGCTGCTTTCAGGCAGGCGGTGGGGGCGAGTGCACTCCTGTCATGAGGTTAACATGTGGTTCATTCACCACAGTGATGATGTCTTCGTTGGAAGGAGAAGTAACTGTGGCTGACTCATTTTACCGCCACAATACTCGGTGGCAGTGACATAGGGAGAAATCCCCCTGAAAACACAGGATACAGTGTCATTGTCATCAGACATATAGGATTTCTCTTTCTGCTGGTCAGTAGTGAAGGATGAAAGCGAAGGCATAACGTTTTTGTGGTCGAGTGTTGTGAAAGTGAAATAGCTGCGGTTTGCGATGCTGTGACTCACAGGGAACACGCTCACCATGATGTGTTTTGCTCCTCTAACTGGAAAAAAGATGTCAAGTCTTGATTGTTGACTTTGGAAGCCAGTGATTTTATCCACAGCTGAACATGGCAAACAGAGTGTATGCAGGCAATAACAGATGGATGTGTGAACAGGCCTGCTGTGCGTCTGTCCAAAGTGACTCCCTGACAGTTATATAGCGTCTGAGACTGCTCACTCTGCCACCCACAGTGATTTGCATCCTGCCCTTTTGTTGCTTTTCTGTCAGTGGCCGGGTCTCAACCCGCTGCTTTCACCTCGTTATGGGCAGAGGTGTGGCACGTGTCGAGATTACTCATTTATCTACTGCGTAATATTGATTATATTGTTTTATTTGGTGGGATATGTTGTGTTATTGGGAATGCCTCGTCTGTTCTCACTGGGGCTGACTTGCTGATTCAATTGTTGATCTTTTTCCTTTGCAACTTCCTGATTTCACAAGTGACTCAAATTGCATGTTGTCATCAACACAAACAAGCACTTCATAGCATTCAGAATGTATGCTTTGCCGTCACATCTTGTCTGACCTTTTGCAAGTTTCTCAGCTAGTTGTTTTGAAGGAGAAGCACTAAAATCTGGACGGCCCTGGATAATTATTAACAGTATTTTCTTGCATTCTTGACATTTCTTTGAATCCCAGTGTCCCTGGTTGGGACAATATCTTTGCTCAGATATTGAGCAAAGATATTGAGCAAAGATATTCGCTCAGATATCTTTGACAGATATTGTCCCTGGTTGGGACAATATCTTTGCTCAGATATTCTGTGAGTTCTCCTCCCTTTCCCCACAAAAGTTCTGGAGTTAACACCAGACATTTCCAAGGTTCTCTGTACTTTTCCTTTCTCCCCGTGAAACAACGGGATTTTCCAGGAAATGTCAGATTGGGAGGGTGTGATTCCCTGCCGCTGGTCGTCGCTTTTACCAGTAAACAGCATGACTCACACTGCTCAGCTATGCTCTCCATTTCCTTCACATAATATCCCACCAAATGTGCTGCGCTGGAGAAAGAGCAGAGAGACGCACGCACCGGTCTGCAGACAAATCTCTCCACCACCTCTGAGAAAAATGCAAGAACAGCGAGATCTTTCTCAGAAGAGTGCATCAGGCTGTCAAGGGCAGCAACACGTCTGCTTAACCTACTCCTAAATTAAAACAAAAAGAGAAGATAAACAGAGTCCAGACAAGCTAACTCTGCATTTATCACAAGTCTTTGATATGCTGTTTATTTTAGGAGGAGGCTGCACCCCACAGTTACCTGCTGTTACTGAAGTGCAGCCTTGAAGTTGACCAGATGCCTGACTTTAAAACCAGTATAAACAGTGAACAGATGATACATAGGTTTATTAAACTGACTTCGTCTCAAGTTTAGACTTTGTGCATACACTATTTCATGAATTTGCTCATTAAGAGCTGGGGCGGATTTGTGCGCATGTAAAAATTTGTCATTCCCCGTTTTTTTCCCCAGCATTCTCAAAAATAGCCTTAAAAGGGTCAGTTCATCTTCAAAGCAATGTGTGTGCCCAAAGAACAAAGTAGCAGGTTTACCAGAAAACATTCTGCTTTCCACATCAAATAAGACACATGCTTTACACACAACCATAGCCATGAAATGTGTGTACGGCTTTTGTAATGGACAGTTAGTTCAGGAGTGTCACCCCATGGCTCTAATCTGCTTTTTTTGTAAGACTTTGTCATAACTTTGTGATAACATTGCGGCTGAAATATAGTGCTTTTTGGGTTATTAGCCATCAGAGTATCATCTTGAGGAACGGAACATTATTTCTTTGTTGTATGAAAAAGTAAAATGAAAGATAGACCCTCACTCTTGTCTGCCACGCATGTGCACACAGGCTGCCTTTGAATTGTTTGGGCAAGTGAAAGATGTGAGACGCTTCTGAATTCCAGACGTTTTGTGAATATTGCAGCCGTTGTTTTACAAGTGGGGTTGTCTGAACTCCACCCCCACATATAGCCGAGTGCATCGCGGGACATATTCAGACAGAATGTTCCTTCTTCAGTGAACACGGTTGTGCATGTGAGGGTTTGCACATGCGTGTTCACTCAGGAATGTGGTTTTGTTCTTTGCCCGCCATCTGTGGCTTTTCTTTGAGGTATTGTCCCAGACTCCTTTTCTTACCATTATGAAAAACCTAATACGAGTTGTTTTTGACTATAGTGAGAAGCCATGATTTATTATAAAATAAGTCTCATCTGAGGGGCAAAACCGTAAAGAGCGGATTTGGCTGTGTGATATAATTGCTGTTTTTCCTCTGAGGAAACTTTGGCATCTTGATCAGGAAAACATTGTCTCTCTGCGAGTTGCAAAAACATAAGCACATGCTTCAAGAATTTCAGTGAAACAACCTGGCCTCTTGGTTCAAGCTGGAGGCCCCTTGTATGAAGAGAGGGTGGCCCCACACCACTTTTCTGTGATTTTTGCAGGGAATATACCCAGGGACCCCCTCTGATGCAATACCACTTAAATTAGGCTGTTTGGGCCAACTAGTTGTCGAGGAACGTATTTCAGTTCTTCATCTTTATTTAATGCTTCTTAAATGTCAATTATGCAATTCTTTGCTGCATGTGTTGTTTTGCAAAATCAATGAAGTACACCAGAGAGAGGAGCAGATGTTCTCAGTGTCTAAACATGCATTTATGTGGCGCTGGGTTTAACTGGTACACGTATTTCTCATCTGTTTATTTTCCAAGTCAGGAAAAGTCTTTGTCACAAGCAGATGAACCTCATTCTGTGGACAGCAATGTTGAATTTAATATACAGTATCATAAATCATTGACTGATGTTCAGGTCAAATCAAAGACAACGTTGTTTTTTGTATCGACTGCACTATTTCTTGCAATAAGGAACTGTAAATCAACAGTTGCAAAGTCCTGTATTAGCAACACAGCCATGGGATGTGCAAACGTGATAAACATCCCAAAAAGAGCAGCCACACCCCGAGTATGTCCTCGCATGAAAGCTGCAGCTAACAGGACTGCTGAGACTATTTGCCCTCTTACTGAGGTATCACTTATCGCTTGCTCACTTAAATTGTTTAGTTGGCAGAAACTTGTGTCAGCACTGTGGGCTAAATATATCTGCCAGAGATAAATAAGGGCATAGAGCAGCTCAGGAAAGCCCAGTGTAAGAGGATCCAACCAGCGAGACACAGGCCTAAATCCACAGACTACATTGTCTCACAGCAAAAATACATCAGTGACTATAAAGGAAAGTATTTCTCTGTGACACTCTATCTCCAGGAATGTTCCACATGCGTATCTACTGCCCTGTAAAGTTCAGCATAACTGTAAATGTTATGCCGACGGTCTGTTTTAATGTGCCATGAGGAGGCAGAGTAGTAGATACCGAGACATCTGATTAAGGGAATAAACAATGTACATTAAACTGGATTTAAGGGATGTAACAGGATAAAAAGGGACAGACTGAGGATACAGAATGTTTATCAGTTATCAGCACAAGTTGGTGCTTCTTATTTGTACTATGAATAGGCTGTGGTGCGGTTGTGAATGAGACTTGTTTACCCTTTTGGTGACCATGTGACTCACACTCCCACGCCCATTTGCAGGGCGTTTCCATGGCAGCAGTCGAGCATGGAACAGTGCACTCGTAGTCAGGCTGGTCGGCAGGTCCTGAAATGGAGCCTTGGGGGGATGTGTGCCTCTCACAGGATCACAGCTCAGCGCTCTCGCTTTTTTTTGGCCATGGCAGCAGTCAGGAGAGCATGTGCCTCACTGTAACGAGTACACAGAGCTTTGATGCAAAGTTGTGTGTAGAGAGAGGTTGTCTGATTCTAAGCTTGCTTGGTGTCGTGAACTACATTGCCAGGGCTCTCCTCTAACAAGTGAATACAGGCACTCTCCAGTGCTCGTGTTTAATGTGGTCATGCTGCCCTCTGCTGGCATCAGTGACTATCACGCAAGCATACATGTCGACACATGACGTAACCCTGGACTGTTGTTGAGGTGTCTTCAAAGTGAATTTGTGGGGAGGAGTGCCAATCTGATGTTAGCATCTGCAATATACAAAAGAAATTTTGTAATGCGTTAGTAGAAAAAGTATCGAGATGTGTTACAAGTAAGAGTATCGTCAAATACGACAATTTAAAAATACTTCAAATCCAAGTAAAAGTACAGAAGTATTCTCAGCAAACATCTTCAAAATATAAAAACTAAAATGCCCCGTCAGTGATCTAGAATTATATATTAAGTTACTGAATTATTATTTCTGATAGAAAGATGATATTGATCATATTTTTGTCTCTAAAATCCTAATCTGTAACGTGATCGGTATTCCAAATTGTCAAATAAATGTAGTGGATTGAAAAGTACAATAATTCCCTATTAAATGTAGTGGAGTAAGTATATAAAGGAAATACTTAAGTAACATGCCAGTATCTCTAAATTGTATTTACAGCACATAATATATATAAATAAATACTTTGTGACTTTCCATCACCTTATATGTTGTGTTTCACTTTAAATGTTTTTTTTTTTCAGTGTGTCTTCTGTGAGATTCTGGCCAGTTGTCTGCATGCAGGGAATGACGACTAATTTTAAGACGAGCAACGCTTTAAAGGTAAGCGAGAGAAGTTTGAGAAATGTGGATGTTGTCAATATTCAGACATGGTGTTGTTCTTCACCCTCTGCTCATGTCCTGCAGGTAAAGAAGGAGGCGGGTGAGAATGCCCCAGTGGTCAGCGACGACGAGTTGGTGGCCATGTCCGTGCGGGAGCTCAACCTGCACCTGCGTGGGCTGACCAAGGATGATGTTGCAAAGTTGAAGCAGCGGCGGCGGACCCTGAAAAACCGGGGATACGCCGCCAGCTGCCGCATCAAACGTGTCACCCAGAAGGAGGAGCTGGAGAGACAAAAGATAGATCTGCAGCATGAGGTGGACAAGCTGGCCCGCGAGAACGCCAGCATGAAGTTGGAGCTGGATTCCCTGCGAGCCAAGTATGAGGCCCTGCAGTGTTTTGCCCGGTCCGTGACCCGCGGGCCCCTCTCGCCGGGCAAGGTGGCCACCACCAGCGTCATCACCATCGTCAAGTCCTCCAACCGCAACAACTCCAGCCCGACCCCGTTCTCAACTCTCTCTCTCTCCTAGTGACAGCACTGGGCTCTTGTTCTCCTGCCTGGTCCTTCCTGGTTCTGACCCAGCCTGAACCCACTCATCCTGTACTGAGAGGATGCTCGGTAGTTAGACTGAGGGATGGAATGGGGTGGCAAGCTCTATGTGACGTTATGCTGCATTCACAACTCTGTCTCTCTCCTTCTGTCTCTCTTACACAATCTACATTGTCTGTGCACTGTGCAAACTCCCCCCTCCCTGACCCCCCAGCACCGGCAAGGTACTGGGCCTCTGTGACCCCGTCCTACATGACTGTTAGCAAAGATTTGCTTTTTACTCCAGTGTGAAAACGTATACGACATGCCTTAATGTGGCAGCGTTGGTTTAGTCGTACATACTGTATGTGACAGTACAGCCAATGCCAAATTTCAATGTAAATTTAGCCTTTGAAGCTGTTGCCTTAAAAGGGATCTATAAGTGATCCATATATAATACTTGCATGTAGTTTAACACAAAGAGGATGTATTGTTCCAGCTTTGAGGTCAGGTGGACACCTCTTTATAACTACAGTTGCCAGTGGTCTCCAACCAGTTGCCTTTCAAGAGCCAGCCAAACACAACAGATGTTTTCACTGATTAGCTCCTCTTCTCTGTTGGACGATGCTAAGCACTAAAATCACCTGTTGTAGTGTTTGATTTGAAGTTGAAACCTGCCTACACATGGCTCTCTGTGGTCCATTATGGAGAGCAATGCATTATGCAGTTTGACGACTGACCAACGTTCAACTAAAGGCCTCTACTCGTGATGTGCTGTTTATATTGCCGTCGTCTGTCTCGGCCTAATTTAGGTTTTATTTGAAGAGTTTAAAACTCAATTGTTAGGCCAAAATGTGTATGCAAGCCTTTGCTGGACTTGTGGAATATTATAAAAGATGGCCATTTGTACCATTTTTCACCTTAGATTTGCTGTCGGAGCTCATTCATGCAATGCTTGAGAAGTTGTTGGATTTGTCAGAGGGGCTGAAAAGTGTTGTGTACAGTTAGCTATGTTGTTTAAGACATCGGAGGTGGTTGGACAGGTGCTGCAAGTGATTCTGTTGGTAGCTTTGTGGCCAGTTTAACGAGAGAAAGTATTCACAACTTCTGCTCGAGTATTTTGAAATGCAAAAGAGGTGAATACTTGTTTTCCACAAATTGTAAATGCTATTTGATTAAACAGGCAGATTTGGGAGGAGTACGACGTAGGAAAGAGATTAGTGAGCATTTGTTCGGATTCAGGAATCATTGTAGAGCACTTTTAAAAGCAGGTTAGGTTGCAGTATAAAAGAAAACATTTCACAGGGCAACTGATTCCTCGAATTAGAGATCGCCGACAGAAGCCATTCTTGTATTTCTGAAGTTGGCTGAGCTTAATTGCATGACGATGATTAAACGTGGTATGATCCCCGACTGTAAGGTCAAGCCTAATGTACCGGACAGTATCCTCTCCGATACGTACACCACAGCACTTACCGGGTTCTGTTTTGCCTCTTTCCTTTATACGCAACTCTTTGGCAGGTAATCCATATTGGATATAGTGATAATGAGTCATCCTTACAAGTGAAATGCAATTGAACTTTTTTACTGTATATTACAGACTACCGAAATGATAAAACTCCCACTGCCTCCTTTGTAACTTTACATTGAGAACTCCGTCCAAATAGAAATCATTCCTACTGCTGGGTCACGAGAAGTGCTGCTGCTGGGGTGTTGGCAACTCTGAAACAGTAGCCATTAACCTTGCTTTTGACACACTCTTCTGCAAGAGAACTCCTGACACCCATCTCTAGAAACGCTGATGTCGCGACAACTAAATGCAGTAAATACCTTCCTCCCGTTGTACGTTTTGAGGTATCTAAATATGAAATTCACTTGAAATCAAGCCGTTCTTACTGAGGATCCATTCCTAATTTGGAGTGAAGTCAATAGAGATTGTTCATGTCAGGATTGTCTCTTGGCTAAGAGGACATGAGTTTTCCCCCTGTTCCATAGCTGCAAAGAACAGTTTGGGGAACTTTGCTGCTGTACAACCTGCTGTGATTTTTAGGCAGGGGCAATGCTGTGTTCTTACTTTTTGTATTTTCACTTGGTTTCTACATTGATACATCCTGTGTTCTTTTTCTGAAACTTAGTTTTGTATGCATATGCATGCATGCATGCATACATGCATGCATACATACATACATACATACATACATACATACATACATACATACATATATATACACACGTCAATTATAAAGACATTACTGCTTGAAGCGTTTTCTGACCAGCGTTACAGTGACCTCTTGTGGTAAAGTTTCAAAACAAAATGCTGGAAAATTAGGCATTTGTTAATTTTAGCACATATTACTGAATTTGGATCCAAGGTTGATTAGGCAGCACATCTTAAAAATAAAACCTGTAAGGAGTACACATTTCCGTACTGTGCCTTAGTAAAAAGACAAAACCTCTCTCCAGGTGAATTAAGTTCTTTGTTGTTGTTGATCCAGTGTGACCGAGCACAGGTCAAGCTCTCAAATACGTGTTGCTCTTAGGCTAGCTTACCACAAGCACTTATTTTAATGATTACATTTTCTACAAGCCACTTTTTTGCTGAGATAAAAGCAGTCCTGTAAATAATGTTAGTGAGCGTTATACATGAATGTAGACAAAGTGTATGGGTGAGCAGAGGTAGAAGCATTACTTACCATGGATGAGTCTTTCTTCCTGTTGAAGCAACTGCAGCTCGTTATACAATACCAAGGAGCTGTAATGGAACCGTTTAAAGACATCAGTGGTTATTTTACACATTTATGAACCATAACAATGCAAATGTATGTATGAAAATTAGGTTTCTTGTGTATCTTGACTATGTATTCAAGTTTTTAATTTAAAAATCCGTCCTGAAAACATGACTTTGACTAAATAAGATGTCACACACAAGCTTTGCCAGTCCAACAAGCTACAGTATTTAACTTTAGACATGTAGAAAGTCAGTGTTTGTACTCTAGATCGAAGAGGTTTCTACTATAAATTCAGAAGAAGCTCCACAATAGAAGGACTGGAGCAGGTTCTATGGATAATAGGGTTGTGGGTGAAAAACATTACATGTTAGTTTAACATCAGCGGTTTCTATGTTTGTATTTCAGATGTTAAGTTTGTGTTTCGGATGTTTATGGTTTTTCTTGTTCTAGTCTCAAAACAACATGTTGAGGCCAAACGAGGACAGTAATAAGGCAGCATAAACTGAGTATGTACCCATAACAAAGTCATTACTCTGCTCATATATATATTTTATATTTATTTCATTGAATTGTGTAATTTTATAAAAAAAAAAAAAAACACCTAAATTATTTTACATTCATTTACTTACATGTTTTCTCAATGAACTACCCTCATGTACAAATAAAGTCTGTATTTGTTTCTACTCTGATTTAAAGAATGGTAAATTATTCCTATAAATAAGTCTGCAGTGTCTGCTTTTGTACCTTCAAATAAAGCTTTTCTTTTCCTCAATGAGAAGTGCAGATTCACTCAGTTCAAGTTACACAAACAAAAACAGGACTAAGACACACAAGTCAATTACATCTTTGTACCCAACTCAATTGATTTCTGCTTTCCCAGAAAGACAGCTATAATTGGCACAAGGTATGAACATTCAAACAACCTCTGACTTGATAAACAGAAGGGGTCTCCAACAATGTACTAGGAAAGCTATACGTCTCCCATGTCACATAAATACAGATAGCATTTCTAAAAAACTAAGTGGGAGAAGAAACTACAAAGTCTCTCAACCCACACAGATTTGTTGCGTTACTTTTCCTCCACACAGAATTTGGTTTGGTCTGAATACACACATTACATTAAAATATTCCAAACAGGGTTATCCCTGGCTTTTTACATAAACAGAACATATGAATTACCACAATTTACACCAATCAAATCCTGTGCATTTCATAATCCCTGGAACACGGAATTTTAACACGAATAGTGACGCATCAAACAAAAAAAAGGTTCTGACAAACGCTTTTACAATAGTACAGAAGCTACAAAAGACTAATTGCGAGCATCTGTTGAACGGCTGTCTAGTTGCACTGAATTAAACTCTTTAGCATGCTGGGAAAATTAAAGAGAAGAATAGAACTCCCACTTTGGAGGAGACAGGTTTATCCAATTTGTCCATGCTACGGTAAATACAAAGGATTGCGAAGTACTACAGTCTGAAGCGCCTGCTCCAAAACGAACGTGTATCTGAACAAATCTTTCCATTTGTCAGGGAACCATGCAGAGGAATGCTCAGCAAATACTTCAAACGAGCAGATGCGAGAGACGGTCCATAAAGTGTCATTCCCAGCCATCGCTGGCTTCCCTGCTTCCCTCCTGGAGTCACATATTAATCATTTCCTCTTTGAAACTGACACGAATCAGAGGGAACGCACTGCAGACGTCCAGAGAACGAGCAGTGACACAATGAATGAAACAGAATCAGGATCAGGGACACTCCTGCAGCTTGATTTAAAGAAAATGCACAGCTCCAGATGTCTCCGATACCGTGAAGGTGACATGTTATCTTCCTGAGATTATTTCTGCCGAGATGAAGACAGGCGAGTTCTCCGGTCATTGAGCTATCAATTAAAAAAAAAAAAAATACTATTCATTTCATCCTCCTCTTGCTGATTAAATTATTCATTATAACAGGACAAAAGCAAGCAGTCCATCTTAAATACTGGGATAATAAAAATGAAACACCTGGATTCAATCCAGCTCTGTGCAATGTGCGATACAGCCGATTCCCCAGAGGTCAGAGATATGGATGGCAAGAACCCAAACACCTGGATCTTGCTGGAAAAAATGTCTATAACTCATCATCAGAGGTGATCAGCATGATTTTGTCAGACTTGCGCGAGCTCTTGTTGCCTGCGGCCACTTTTCCGTTTGTGCTGGGCTGGACTACGTCCTGTGTGGACTGCTGGGTGTACTGCTGGTAGGCTGGGGAAAAGTTGTGAATCGCATCCTGTACCATGTCTCCCGGGTTTATGGTCTCCTTCAGACCGCTGGAGATGCTGTGCATAGGAGGGATGTTTTCTGGAGGAACAACATAGGCACAAGGGAGGTTGGAGGATGATTGAGAAGATAATCATGACCGTGACTGCAATGTTACAACTTTAAAAGAATAGCTAGACAGTTACATCCTGGAGTCTCCTTTGGTTGCCTGAGAACTGTTCCCGGCCAATAAATAGCCCAGCGTACACAACTAACTAACAACAAATCATCATTTTCATTTCATTTATTCATTGTCCAAAAAATTTAAAGAAATGCCCAAGTAGACATTCATATTACTCGCTACAAAATTTATATCATGAACCTTAAATTATATAAGATAACACAAATCTGAACAACAAATGTTTTTGCATTTTTGCTGGATAAATCACTTAATGGCTTGTTAAATAAATTGTGTCTATCGATTAATTGTCTTTTTGTTTAATTGGTACTATCAACTACACTTTGTGTGACATTACAGCAGTAATATTTGATCGGTTAAAAAAAAAAAAAAAAAAAAAAAAAAAAAAAAAACTTTCGGCATGATGTCCTCCTTTCATCATGACTTCACTGGCTGCAGTTTATAAATGGGCCGAACACAATTCAGTCACAGGCATTGTCCTCACTGATGGTCCCTTAGCCCCCAGCAGGGGGCCAGGTTGAATTTTGCCCAGAACGAAAAGGGTGTTCAAGGCGAAAAAAGGTTGGACGGACATCCACAGCCTTCTGTTTCAGGGTCACTGGCAGTGCTGTCTGGATTGGCTTATGGAGGTGGCAAAGAGAAGGGCAAGGTGGGGTAGGTGGATGGGTGTCCAGGGCAGTTATGTACGGTCTGCTGAGTTTCTCCTTACTGCCGGAGTGGACGCAGAGGAAGGGTAAACCAGAAGAGTGGCAATATCTGCAGTCACACACATCAACACCTGAGGGTGGGTGTGCACCAGCTGAACTACAGTGTTAATGGTAATGTCAAAAAGTTGCAAAGGGGGACTGGATGGCTGAAGCAACACAACTAACTAAACAAAAAAAATTAAATAATGAGCTGTCAAACCATTCCACATCATTATTATACTTTAACCAATTATTTTATCTTGATTTAAACAAAAGTAATGTCAAGTAGATACAGAAACGTTTCATTTTTCATCATCGCCTCAAGTACTTCTGCATGTTAAGCAGCTCAAGGGAACACAGGGTTTCCTATAGCAGGAGAAAACAGGCAAACTGATTGATATCACTGCGGAAGGCTTTTCCCATGGCTTCCATTTGTCTTTGACTTGCAAGCAGCACCGACGTCAAGAGGTGCCGCTCCCTCCCTGTTGTTACTGTACTGTGGCGTTTCAATCCCTCTTCATTGTTTTACTGGCAACTGTCCTCTGAGCCATGAGTAACAACAGGCCTCACGCAGGAAGCACTATAAGAACAAATGTCTTCATGTTCGTGTTTGCATCCACAATTTCATTGTGTTAGCACTCACTGATCTCTGAGATTCACCAATGTTTCCTTAGTTGTGCTCTTCTTTTAGGTAGGAGGAAATGTTATGAGTGGTCGAGAGCAGTTTTTAAATTTGATGAACATAAAAAAACGTATTAATATTATATATAATTAACATTAAGCTTCTGAATGGCTTACATACTGCTCTTCAATGGTTTTTGAATCTCCTGTAACACCAGTACTGACGCTCAAGCTAATGCTAAAGTTCTTCTTCCAGCCTTGTTTTTGGTGGCATCTCTCCCGATTCTTGAAGTTTTAGGAGTATTTGTACAAAACACAACACCTGCACTTATATCGTGTTTAAGGAGCGTTACCTATGCTAATAATAAACACCGGCCACACGCCCCTAAATTATGATCACATTGGATCATCACTCAGCACACCTGGGTAAGCGCAGATTTGGATGGTTAAGAACGTTTGGTGAGTCAGGAGACAACTTCCCTTATTTTTAAATGAATAGAAAATATAAGAGATATTTAAGAGAATATTGCTGCACGAGGCCCAATGTGTGCCCTTGGTCAGGTCAGTCGGCAGGGGCTTCATCAGCCTGACACACTGATCACGACAGCACTACATTTAATTCAAGTACAAATTTGTAACCATGTGGCCATTCCAGCTGGTTCCTTCAGTTAAAATAGAGGGCTTGAATGTGAAATCTAACTTTAAAAGTCAGTCTGACTGGACTAAATGGCCAGTCAGATCAAGCCAGTGTCGGTCCATATTCTGTGGGGGGAGAACGGGAGGGCAGTACAGGCTACAGCGCTTACCTGGCACATCATTTTTTTTCTCCTGGTAGACGGTGCAGGTGAAGGCGTATCGGAGGGCAATCGCAGCAAAGAACATTTCGATGCAGGTGATGAAGTTCTGCCAGCCTGCTGCCACGGTGCCGGCGCCGACCATTTGTCCATCGATGTAGAGCGCTTTGGGTATGACGCTGCAGCGCTCCAGGATGGCGAGGACCATTCCTACAAAGCAGCAACATTTTAATTAGCAATTTATACTTTTACATGAGGACACAGAAAAAGTGAATGTGCAAACTTACCTTGCCAGAACGATAAGAAGATGACAGATTTGATTGTGAGGAATTTCAGCACTGGTTCGTACGGCCTGAGCAGGTCACTTGTTGCGAAGAAGAAGAGGAAGAGAGCGTAGAGAGCCAGACTGACTGAGAAGTTGTAGATGATGGTGATATATAGGTATCCTCCATTTATGCTGCACAGAAAGTAGGGAAAGTCACAGAATTACAAAGTGGTTAATTTATGACTGTGAAATACTTCTGTCTGTGATCATATGACAAGCCAGCATACAGAAACTTCAATACATTTTTTTGACGGCCACAATCCATTCATGTTTTTGATCCATTTATTACTTTGGGCTGAATTAAAAACACTGGCAGCTCAAACTTGATGACCTTTTTCCGCCATATTGTTAGAGCAGCTGGAAGCAAAGCCCTTTTAGCCTCTTACTTGAAGCAGTTAATAAAGCCCGTTTGTACTCGTCCTTCTTATTTTAGAATGCATTTGATAAACAGGCAGACTTTCATTGTCAGACTGCCTCGCTACCCTCTTTGCATTCCAGAGAGATTCTCCGAGGCCTCAGCTGTGACTACACTAATTACTCCTATCCATACAGTGCATGGTTGGCTGATAACGTATAAGTAAACAATCAGTGAATCATCATGGTCTTGCTAGAGGACTTAAAGAAAGACATGAAATAAGACAAGTTACTTATGCCTGCTAATTTTGCTGTTGAAGTATATGGAGAAATAAGCAGGAAGAATTTAATCATGTCTATCTTTTAGCTCGACAGTAAGAGGGTAATGATATCTGATAAATGTCTGTCGCCAGCCCTTGTTGAACTCTGTGCTTCGTCTGAGTAGTTTAGAAACAAGTGTTGTCACAGCTGAATCTTCAGAAAGAGACACCGAGCCGAGAGGCGGAGAAGAGCACCTGAAAATAAGTCAGACCGTTTACGGGCTGCAGATTTTATAGCTTTTGATTACACACTAGACAATTTTATTGATGCATTACCCTCTCCATATTATTCTGGGACCCTTATAGTCTCATATGGTACAACTGCAAATACACTCAAATTAAGTTTGTCAGTCTGCAATTTGCCTCCGTCTTTGTACGACATTCAAAGCAAAAGCATGAAATGAAACAATACATCTTCCGTTATAATATTGTGCTTTACTGAGTGCAACATAAAATAAGAATTAAGTGTCTTCATTTCAAGACAATTACTACATCTGGGGAAAACTTATAAAGAAATATAGTTTCTTTAGTAGATCTATAGAAAACCTTTGAATTACTCTTTGCAATACCAGCAACAGCCAGAAGAATGTGATTATGGCTGACACAACTGGGACAACCTGCAGTAAAGTACCTGCAGACTCCCACAGGAAAGCTTGATACCAGCACTTTGTCTGAAATGAAACCCTTTAATTCTAAACATCTTCATCATGCCAACTGTGAAGAGGTGATATAATCATCTCCATGTGCACATAAACAGCACACAAGCCTTCTGGCAACGACATGGAACGTGCAAGATACATAACGAATGAAATGGAAAGAGAGGTGCTGCTCACTTAAAATCTCCATCATGATATTTGCCAAAGGCCTGCAGGATGATGGTGATGACTGCCATGATGGGTTTGACAACGCAGAACTGGAGAGTCGCCTGGAGAACACATTACAATTCAGAAAGAGACACCCAAACAAGCAAAGACACCATGAAGGAGGAGGAAGATGAAGGATGAAGAAGAACATCAGAATCGGTTTGTACGTCTTATAACCTGAAAAAGATGTGTAACTGCTCACTGACAACAAGCAAGGACACAAATTAAAAAGGTTATATCCTGTTTGTTTAATCCATACAAAAAAAACAAGTGTAAAAAAGATGATTTGCTGTTTTATGGGCAGTTATATGTTGGACTGTTTGTTGGACTTATTTTTAAGCTTTAAATTTTAGTACAGATCACTCAAATAAGATATAACCTGTTAAAAAAAAAAAGCTTGTTTTGTTTTTACACAGCCCAACGTAATGCAATTCAACCTCTGGATTACACACATCCTAAGATTGAGGAGCCTTGGGCGCTCAGGAAGCAACTTGGGGTTCAGTGTCTTGCTAAAGGACACATCATGCGGACAGGGGGAGCCAGGGATCAAACTACCAACCTTATAATTGAAAAGGTCAATCCGCCCTACCTCCTAAACCACAGCTTTAGAGGTGCCTGAAGGTGGATTTTGGACGTTTCCAGGCCAGTGATTTCTGCGAAGCTAACTTAGCACAAACATTATGTTTTGTCATGCCGCCGTATCTTAACTTCAGCTGTTAAACCCTGTGTATCATAGTTTATGACGTTTTATCATAAATGACAAATTTCAGACTCATTGTTCTCTGTATCACGCAGTTGGATGGATCTCCTTACAGTCAAGAAGAAATAACCATCTCATGTTATTCATTCACAATGCTCTACTGTAGAAGCTTCCAAACTTTCTCACATCTCTTTTCTCATTTAAATCCAGTAACCTGTTAACCTTAGAGATCACTCACGTATGCACTAATGTTGGCAGAACTGGTTTCAGGTATTCAGCACTTTTTAATGAACTGCACTTAAACCTAGTCTTGCATTCCCCTGGGAGATTTTAAAGCTTTATCAACTGATATTTTACATGATTCTTCTAACAGTTTTTAATTCCTTGCTCATCATGTAGCGGTGCTGTTTCTGTTTTGCTTATTGTGTTCTTGTGAATGATTCTGTGAATGTCCCTCTTGGAAAATAGATTTGAATGTCAAAGAGACTGCCTGATTAAATAAAAAATAAAAAATAATAATACCTGGCTGCTGGCTGTAGCCTTATACTTAAAGGACGGATATGAGAGTGGTATCAATATTCTCATCTAATTACCAGCAAGTAAGAAAATAAGCATATTTCCTTAAATGTCAAACTAGTAAATTAATTAAAAAAGCAATAAAATACATTTAATACATCCGTTGTTAAAGTTGTCATTCTAGAAAGCAAACAATCCGATGCTGTATTCATGGTGATGTGGATAGGGAGGATGTTTTGCACAGGAATGTAGACCGGCATGCAACATAAGACTGGAGGACAGGTGTCCTCTGTGTTGTGTATTGAAGCCTGAACCAACCAATTTGACAGAGGTTGCTCCAAACTCCCATCCCCGTTGCGGCACTTAAAAGCAACAGATCAGGAGCGTTCGACTTGATTAGCCAGAGGGAGACTTTTTTGAACGGCCAGTCTAAGTCGGTCGTGGGCTTGACAAAATGACGTCAATAATCATTTAGAGAACTGATTTGCTTTGAGAATATTAAGTGACAGGTTGGCACTAGAACAGGCACAGGGAGAGCAAAAACTGTCAGTACCAAAAGCTTCAAAGCAAATCATTTTGCACGATACTTCCTGACATGCTTACTATTCCAAACACAATGCATGTTCATAATACTAGTAGATTAAAAGTCAACCACCGTTTCTGCTTCAAATTAATTTAGTTAATAACCGCACACAGACTCTATACAAATCTAGTAATATACTTTAATACTAAGCTACATGTGTGTCAGTGTAAACGGCACAATACAGATGTACGACAACAGAATATGTTCATTAACTATATATAGAGACTACATACTTAATAATAGCTCTACCTCATACTGGTGCATCAAAGGGTTTTGTGAATTTAGGATGACATGCACATCTGGTATATTCACCACATGTTACTTTTATTTTGTCATCAGCCTGACAGCGTTTTCCATTACAATACTAAATCATTTCTCAGAGAATTCACAGCTTGAAATGACCCGAAGCATTTTCTCTCCGTTAGCCTTTTTACGACATCAGAGTTCACTGCAAAAGTTCACTGGTGGCAACTATCGACAGAACTGCTTTTTAAATTTCTCTAGAGTCGTATATTAAACAGCAACACCCCTCTACTTTGTAGATTGGGTATTACAATACAGACACTCAAAGCTGATTCATCAAAATTGATTGAACAGTTTAATTAACACATTTATGTATCTGGCCACAAGGTCAATGTTGTTATTGTCATCCTCACACTCCGCAGGAATTAAAGATGCAAGAGTGGCCAGCAGGACAGATGTTATGTCTGATGTCAATAAATTAGTTACATTTTCTACATCAACTGCTTGTGCATTCTGGCTGCTGTTCTTCCCTTTAAAGACCCAATGAAACGGAAATTAGAGCGCCTTTAGCTTCTGTACAGTTTGTATTTTAGAACGAAACAGAATATTTGAACGGTGTACAACTACAAGAGGGATTGAAATCAAATCCTTTGCATTTGATTGAACGGCAAAAAAAGTGGGCAGACGTCAAATGAATCGCAACACGGTGCTCCAGAGGTCTGTGGCTCCACACACATCTACCGTGTCGCTAAAAGTTGCAGATTGATTGATGGATGGATGGATGTCATATTAGTGGTTGAAATTGGTTGGTACAAGCTTACGTAAGCACACTTCATATTCTGTTTTACAGGAGAAAAAGATTATTCGATTTTGACATAAAAATACGGACAAATTGATTTTTTGCAGATATTGTTAAATAGGTGCACAATATTACCAGAGACATGATCTGCAAGGGTTAAAAGGTATATTTCATTTTATCTCTACTTTAAGGAAAAAAAAATGAAAGACAAAACTATCAGCAAAAAACAGCTACTAAATGATTACATTTGTGTAGTGAAAGAACATCGTACTAAGGGTCTTGTGCTGTTGTAAAGCCAGGTGTAGCATGAACGCAGTCACAATGAACCTTCGTCTTTTGCATCCTCAACAGCTTTCCCTGGGACGCAGCATTTGACTTTTGCCCAGTTTTTAGGAAAATAAAGCGTCTAAAAACATGATAAAGGACTTAAACTGAAATGCAGCTTATCCTCTAACCTTATCTCTCAGAACCACAATTAGTCTAGGCTGCTTTTCCATATCAGTGATTCATTTGTTAACCACTCATCTAATCAAATACTGACGCTTCCCCAAAATGTGCAAAGAATTTTTACGCCGACCCCACCACCCACAAAATGGATCAAGGCCATTCAGATGTTGTGCTCTGCTAAGGTCCTGTCCACTAGTTTTTGTATTTGACTTTGATGTGCTGTTATAGATATTTCACCTTGAAGTTTTCTTTTAAAGACGAACGCACTGGTGTTTTCTCCAAGTGACAACACTATGTGATCAATATTATTGAGTTTTGCAGTTATAATAAATAAGTCAGACAGCAGATTATCACTACTTTGAATCCACTCACTTCCTGGGGGTTGACCTGCAAAACAGCAATTAATAATCTGAAGTGTTCAATATACTGATTTCTGAAATTTTCTGTGCATGACTGTTAATGTTGTTGACCTATTTTAAAAAGCAGAATAAATCAGTGCTAAGCCTTTGCTTGAGGCCAACACTTTCACTGCACTGACACCCAGCAAACTCTAACAGACCTGGTGGGGGTTTTATGCTACAACGGGCAGTATAATGCTCTTTAATAATGCTCGGATCTTTAATTGTCCTCTCACAAAGAAAAATCCTTTAACTACGATTTGTTTCAGATATGCCACCAGAGAGAACTTGCCGTGTTTTCCTTTTAAAAACACTTCACCTTAGACTCCTGTGGAGGCACACCGATTGCTTATCACTTGCCACTTCTAAAGAAAAGAAATGTTCATTTCACCATACATTTTGTTTTGAAGACATAACGCTCAGTTCCAATGTTTTTTTTAAATCAGGCTGGTAGATTGTGCAGCATCCCAAGACATTGGGAGCGCTGCGCTGACAGCTCACATCATCGCTCTGTGTTTATTATCAAGCCGCTTTCACCTGGCCTCAGTTGCTTTTGATTATTTTCTCTTTTTAAACCAGTGGATGTTATCCTCTGAAAAGCACACAGCCAATTATAACAGCTGTCATTTTTAAGCAGTATGGAGATCTGGGCAGAATGGTAATTTACAGCGCAGTATCTTTTGTTTAGTTTTTCCAAGACAATTTGACATATTTCTATTTTCAGTGGGTGTAAATATATTTCAGTGGTCAAAAGGAGCATCTCTTGTGCCGCGATAAGGGGATGAGGCTCACCTGTTTGCAGAATCTTAAGAAGCCGATGGAGTAGCTCGTTCCGCCGAGGCAGCAGGTACCGTACAGACAACTTGACCTGTGAAGACAAGAGGACATGATGAGCTATTAAGTCAATACTGAAACATTTAGCATCAGATAACAGAAGAGAGTTAAAGAATGTATTGAGTGAGATGTAAAATAGAAACACAGCTACTTTGTATTACAACAGCTAGAACACACAATAAACACTAGCTTGCTTAAATGTTTATATTTTTTGTTTCATCGATTAGTCAATTAATCAAAAAAAGAATTGATTGTTTTAGAAGTTTTTCAAACAAAAACGCCTGACATTTGACTCTCCCAGCGTATCCAATATCAGCCAGGCTTTCCTGTTTTTCTTGCCTCTATGCGACTGTAAACTGAATCTATTCAGGTTCTGGACTGTTGGTCAGACCAAACAAGACATCACCTCGTTATAGACAAAACTAAAAATCGTTGTATCAAGAAAATAATCAACAGATCAATCTATAATGAACATTATTGTTACTGCTCAGTTCTATGGTATATTTTCTGAGTGGTGATGTATTTGACTGCGATGTATTGAGAGATGTTCCAAATATTTTGACCACATAATTTACTTTACGCATGTAGGATCAAAAATATAAAAAACACAAAACTAATAAAATGTACTAGGTTAAAAAGAGTCAAAAATTGGCACCGAGTGACAATTGACAAAAAAATGCCACAAAATGAGACTATATTGTCCCTGCAAAGCTGCCTACATGACAAAATCCCAATTGGGAGTCATTTACAGCTATATAAAAACCATGAATGTAAAGTGAAAGACAAGCTGCTTACACCAGATTTTGTGCAGTTGCACATACAATCGTCTTCATTTTGATTCGGAATTCTAGCATTTGGAGCATTAATGAAAAACATATATTGCGGTAATTTTACATGTCCATACAACAATGCATGTACATGAACAGTAGTAGCTCAAGGCGTTGTGTATGACAGTGGATTTAAAGGCTGCTTGTTCTTATGGCGTCTTTAGCAGATTAACTTTATGGTTTTGGGCTAAAACAACAGCATCTGGTCTGACAGTACCGAGGAACTGGACGGTAGGTAAGACTTTTTGCCTGAAGAAGCTCTGGTATCAGCACAAGTAATAACATTTTTGTACCTATTCTTTGTTTATTATTACTGTAAGTGGTGTGTTCAGGAGGCAGTTTAGGGGGTGGGGAGGCAGATGGAATAAATAAGCTGGTGAGAAAGACTGACTCTGCTGACGGACTGAGCCTGGAAGGAGCAGACATGAGGATTAGGTCTAAATTCAGATTCCCCCTAAAGCATACTTGCCAACCCTCCCGATTTTTATTTACCCTCTCCCGGTTTCCTCGCCATGTCGCAATTTGCCCGTTTTATGACAAATTATATATATAAGCTATAAAACTCTAAAAGTCTACCGTTTCCACTCGGAAAACAATACAGCTCGCACCTCATCCTTCTCAGCGAGTGATAGACAAAGAGTAATAAGGAGTAATAAGAGAGAAAGACTCAAACTGCTGCGTGCGGAGGACAGCCGTGACCGGAGGAGCACTTTAACCATTCGGTTAGTATGCAGCATATAAACAGCAGCGTTTTAAGGCTGCCGTCTCTGGGCATTAATCACCACCTCTCTGGCAGTGACCGTCTGCAAGCCTGTGGATAATGCAGCCTCTGGAGGCTTCCACTCAGCCCTTTAGGCCCGAGCCCCGCATAGGTTATAACAACGAGGGCTCTGGCTTGGCTTGTATCCGTGGCATGTCTTGGGTGGGACTCAGCCAACTCTGTTGTCAGCTGGGATGGACCACATAGCGCTGTAAGACGTGTCTTTCAGTTTAATTAAAGGCATTCGTTTCATAGCGATTCTTTTATTGTAAAGTATTGTTTTTTTCAAAAAAAAATATCAGAATACCAAATTTGAAAACAGAATACTTACCCAACAAACAGATAATCGAATAGTCTACACGTCGTATTTTAATCCTTTTCATAATTGTAAATGACTGACGAACACTCAAATGCATCGTCATCACTTGCAAATGAGAGCATGTATATTCAGTCAAGTTGAATTTGAGAAACAAATTTGGATTTGCCTGCATTGTGAAAGTATTTCTTGCTCTGTGTTCATTCCCACAGAACCTGTGGACATCTGAGGTGTATTATTTATCACACTTAATGGGATTAATGGGAACATCACAAATTAAACTGAAGCTTATATTGATGTACAATATTTATTAGAAAAGGAGTAGGTTTAATGTGCAGCTAAAAGGCAGAGACCATGTTTCTAACATGCCAACACAATGGTAATGGCGTACACACATTAAATGAATCATTAATCTGCCATGCTGCTGATTAAAACATACTTGACTTGAACATTAACACGCTACGATACTATCCACAATATTTGATGTCTCTCGAAATCCTAAAGGGCGCGTAACAGCAAGGCAGTGCAGGGATTTTAATCTAAAACCAGATGTAGAATTTATGCCTCGTCCCCAGTAGACAGCTTTGAGCGATGCCACCATTTATCAGGGCTCAACATTAGTGTCTCCACTGTCTTAAGAACCTGCAAAAGAGCTGCTGCGCTGCGGCTGAGTCGGCCATAAAACACAGCCTGTCTGAGGCTGGTCAAAAGCTCTGAGATAAAGGATAAGATTCACAGATTAACAACATACTTGTTTATTGCTCTTTCACTGGGTTTTTCACACCAAATGCTAATTCAAGGGCAGCAAGATGCACCTTGCACCTTTTGTGATTGTAAACATGAAGATGAAACCATATTGTAATTTGTCCAAGTTGAGCTTAAGTGAAGGTTGTACTTTAAAAATCTTCAAGCCAGTACCAAACCAAACCGGTACGTACATGTATGAACTAGAACGAAATCACTCACTGTATGGTCTTCCCTCGGATCTCTGACATGATCCCACTCTCTCCTCCCAGATACTCAAAGGACAGGCTCAGGAAATTGTAAATGACGAACGCTGCGACAGAAAGAAAAGAGTTACTTCTTAAACTTATGAACCATGGCATGATTTTAACTGTAGAATATCTTGTCACCTTCATAAGTATAACTTCATGTGAAAAAGGTCAAATCATTTCAGAGGAGAAAACGTCCACATGATAAAAAATAATTAGTCCTACATTTTGGAACAATAAATGTTTCAGTCCTTACATTAAGAAGCTTCCAAGGGTTCTGTGTCTTGGAAATCCCTTCCTAATCCTTTGTTGCTATTTAAAGAGGGATTAAATGAAGCTAATGCAGATGGTGTCCAGTCAAGAGAAGGTTCATTATGTTTTAGCCGCAGCCGCTGGTGGCAGTCCAGTCTTACTGCTTTCTGATGCGCTGCACTTATCAATCAGCCACAAAATTGGCTTGCAAACTGGAAACTAATCTCCTGAATAATGTATTTCCTACTTCCCCTTTTTCAAATGACTTGTAATCCATTTTGCATATCATTCACCTTTGACATTAGTAAAGTACATTGGTCTTAAAACATACAAAGCAAATACACAACGACAGTTGCAATGTGCAAAGGCAATTGAACTACAATGTACACAGAACAGAGTTTAAATAATATCTGAATATTATACCTAATACATTTGACAAAATATCCTACCTTAAGAAAAGGTACATTGAAGTTGTTTTCCTCATTTGCAAGCACTGAAACCAGTGCACAAAAAAGGACGTTCCTAAAACGACTCCTAGAAACGCAACACCTCAAATAGTGACGTCTATCTACATGAGAACAATGACTGGTGTGTAAAACTAGTTTGGTCAGTTCCTTGTCTATCCTTTCCTTTCATTATCAGGCAGATAATGTCAAGGGAAGTGCTTGTGAGCCTTACCTTCGTAGCAGTCTCGAACAGAATCAAAGTAGACGTAGTACTGGTCGTTGCTGATAAAGAGCAGGCTGAGCCAAGAGTCAAAGGCATAAACTGGCACGATAAACAGGATGCGGATGATGTAGCGCTGCTCGTTGGGGACAGTGTAGGACCGAAGGTGTGTATAGATCTGAAAATACATAAACAAAGAATATTAAAAGCATAAACAAGAAGAATGACAACTCCCTGATCACTCATGGAATAGAGTTATGAATTAAATAACTAGGAAACTTAAATTCTGAACATGATGTATGAGATTAAAATAGAAGAGGACATACTGTAGCCAACAATGTTTTCCTATAGCCTTGACTCTAAAGCCATATTCCCCACATGGCTGTGAACAACGTGATATGTCAACAACCAGAGAGCTTATGAAAAACAATGAAATAGGTTCTTTAACTCGATGACTTTATTCATAGCTACATTTGATCTTGCATTGGCTGCTCTGTGTGTGTGAAGATCTGTCACTATGAAACACGGCAGCGGGGCAGACTAGAATAAAAAGACATCACCCAACTCCTATTTTAATAACACCCAAAACATTCCAGCTTTATACCGAGTGGCCACACCTTCTAGTATACAGCTATAGCTTCAAATACAGAAGCAGACAACATGATCAGTGAAGTTCACTGAGCTGATAAAAAAAGTCTTAACCTCTACCTTTTAAACACACACCTCATACATGCCGTATCATAAAGGTGATATGGTGCAGCTGACAACATCTATAGGAATACACACAGCATATGGCAGACAATCTGACTGATCATTCTTTCTAGTGACCTTTAGTTTTATACACAAGGCCTCATTTTTAGCGGGGCTGTAACGATTCATGTGTTCGTACAGAACCGTCACAGTCTGGGGAACGCAGAATATACGGCATGTGAAATAATGCACATAATGTTGTGCCCCAAAAGCTTTGAGCCTTATGCCGTCATAAGAAATAATTGAAACACTCATCCTAATGCAGAAGTTTTATTTTATTTATTTCTCCATGTACTTTGAAATTCGTAGCATAAGAGATGCTTTACAGTTTTGAGAAATTGTGCGGTGTTGTCTTTTGTGAAAGTGTTTGTTCAGTGTTCGTTCAGTGTTCGTACAGTTTCACAGAAGTGTTTGAAACATTCCATATATTTGTACTTAAAATAGTTTACCAAAGTTTCCAGAGGGCAAAATGTTACTTCATCAAGAAGATTGTTTTCCATCTTTGACACTATATGAATGAAAGGAAACGTATCCTTTTGCATTTGTTCAGAACTTGCGGTCAACCGTGAATCTTAAATCATGCTAAGAACCGAACCGTGACCCGTGTGTACCGTTACGCCCCTAGTCATGGCAAAACAAACACCTGATACAGTTTCAACACACATGAGCCAAATCCAAATGATGAATTACATTTTGAATTCCTACTGAAATGTCTCAGGCTGAGGTAAGTGTTGGCTTATCCATTCTGATCTCAAGCAAATCCAGGACTTAACGATCTGTATGTCTTCAAGCACAGTTAAACTGCCCCTCTTGGGTAATGCTGGCAGATGACTGCTGGTTGGCTAATCTCACCAATGTTAACAAATCAAAAACAAAGCTGTAGCAACATAAAGCTGAAGGGAAACTGCCATAACCAGGCAACACCTCTGATCCAACGACAATATGGAATAGAAATACATCAAAACTCCATCATATAGTAAATCTAATTTATCCTTGCATAACTGAATTCATATCTGACTAATGCTCATAGGACCTCTTCCACCAAACAATTAGCATATTTAATAGGGAAACCTGTTAAATTGTTTCTCCAGTATCATTGTCCCTCTGCAGATTAAAATGTAGCCCTTATTACAGACCAAAACCTATTAGGGAATATTATTGTGATGCCACAGACTTGGCAATCATTTTCTAATAATGACTCATTCTTCATAAAGTTTTAAAAAAAAATGTTTAAAAAAAAAAAAAAAAAAAAAATCACTAACCATCCAAAAGTTTCTCAGCAAACCGAGATGCTTACGGCCCATTAGTTAACTAATCGAGTATGAGGAGGATATCCACGTAATAACATCGAGCTCAAACTGATAACTCTCTGAAAGGGAGAGAAAACAAACACATCCGTGTGTAACCTCATCAGAAAACAAACAGATTGCTGAAACAATTAGTCTATTAATACAGAAAAATAGCTATTCTAATAATAGATTGACCATACACGTTATTTTTTTAAACAAAAATGTCCAGCATTCTCTGATTTCTTAAATCTGATGATTTCCTGCTTTTCTCTCTCTTTTTTATGATTATACACTGAATATGTTTAGCTTTTGGACTGTTGGCTGGGAAAAACAAGGAATATGAAGACATCAGCTTGGGCTTTAATGTGAATTATACGACCAACAGTCAAAAAAAACAAAATATTCAGATTACAATCACAAAGAAAAGCAGCAAATTATCACCTCTGTAAAGCATTTTTGCTTGAAAAATTACTACAAATATGAATTGTTTATCAAAGTAGTGGCCTTAATTGATTCGATTAAATTGACTAACCCTTGCAGCTCTACAGTAGTTTCACTCACACTTAAGCTCACTTACTGAATAATATTTTCTTGAACATATTTTGTGCCGTTTTGATTCAAAATCTACCATCAGTGGGTGTGAACATTTCTAATTATAAAAACCTCCCTTTGCAGAAGCAAACTAAACAACTTCCAGAGTCTCGCTCTGCTCGACGCATTCAGCTTGATTAAATGCCCATTAGAGGCAGCACATTAAAGCCTGATTACTGTAAGGGTGGGGGTGTGAAGTGAAGCAGACTGTAGACCGACGTCCTCCATTTGCCTGAAAAGCTAGAAAAGCCAACCACGTCATTCCTGACTCCATACAGCTGACCTGACAGTAATGCACAGTTGTATGCTGAATAATGGCTTCAAGTCAAGCTCAGATTTATTTCCGCATCGGCTGCCCCGACAGTAGCGATAGAGGAGCCACATTTTTGAACACACACATATAGCTTAAAGTGATTGTACATATTGTAACTTAGTGTGAGGGACATGACGCAGCCATACAGCACACCATAAGAGTAGTCTGCTGCTCTCAATCCCGAATGCTTCAAGTTTCAAGGGGACCAATAAGCCCAGCAAGACAAACGAGCCACACTCCAGCGATTACTGGCCCGAAAAGCATTGGCGACTTTACAGCAAAGAGGAACTAAGGTCATTGTCTTTCCTCGTTTAGTATTCAGAATGGGAGTTTCGGAGTCTATAGCAATCCTCTAGAGCCAAGACAGATGAAACACCACCAGCATTGCAACACTAGTCCTGCAGATCATTTTATTCTCCCAGTGTGTCCGAAGAGATGCCTGTTGTAAAACCGCTTCATTCTCCCTGTGGTGCACTCGTTATTTATTTGTTCAATTAAAATGTCTTGTGGCAAGTGTTTGTCCAAACAAGTACTATATTAAAAACGATAGAAACCAATTTGCTGGATATTGAGTCACAAATCCCTAAACACGGATTGTTTTCATACTCACAGGAAGCAACATGTTGATGCTTTGTGAGGATGTTACAAAGCTTAGAAAAGTACCAAAAGAATAACAACTCTTTTATTAATCACACTAAAATACAGACAGTTATGACTGCATGTGTGTTAACGTAAATACGACGCAGGCGTATGACTTGGATGGATGCATACTCAATTCAAGGGTTATAAAATCGACTAAAACTGGGAAAAATAACAGCTTCACACCATTAAAGCCACAGCTAACAAGAAAACAAGACCCTCATCCTTTAGAACGCTGTAAATGTTATTTCAATATCAATTGATTTCCCCGCTGATAATACACTGCACCCTGCCGCTCTCTACCAATGATAAAACCATAATGATAAGCTATCATCCACGCACAGCGGGTAACTCACCCACACAAGAGCCATTTATTCTTCCTGATTTCACCCCCAACATACAGAGAGCTCACTGCGTATTTATTGCCCTTTAATCTGCTCAAGGATTTTCGTCCATTTTTAATCTCAGTCAACTATAAACTAAGCAAAACATTCACACAATGCAGTGAGGGAGTGCAAGCACAAAGTAGAAAGTACATGCCTGGAATACTTTAGGACTAGATACTGTGACTGTGAGCTGAGACACGGAACTCACAACACTATGCTGTAAGGTAATAATCCTTTGTGGATAGAAGAATTTGTTTTTGTCCTCTGGCAAGGGAGGTACAATGTGTCACTCTGTTACCATCTGTGATTACATTTACACCACTGAGAGTGCAATGCTTTGAAGCTGTAGGCTATTTAATCACTAGTGTCAAGTAGTGCAGGGATTTTCTTCCAAGCTTTAGAAACATAAACTCACCTGGTGGCATGTCATGAGCAAGGCGGACCAGACAAATATCCCTGAGAGGGCCTGAGCAGCCACTGTGTTCAAAAACATGTGGTCTTCTATGATCGTCCCGTTGCTGGTTTGAATGATGGTCATATTGGAGATGACCGACATATCTGGGAGGATTGGTGCAGTCAGGTGGACAATAGAATTATTTTCTGCTGATGAATCCATGGACTCCAAAGAAATGTTCATCTGAAACAGAGAAGGGGAAAACACACACACACACACACACACACACACACACACACACACACACACAGTCCAGTCAGTGTAAGACTTACAGGTAACACGTAGAAATACCTCCCATGTGGGTTTGACTGAATATTGCTCAATTATGTCATACCACCTGCTGTGAACACAACGAAACCTAGATTGTACTGTTATTCAAAAATGTATTAATTAGTAAAATAAAACTACTGTAGATGGAGGTGAAATACTGCAGTACTGTATAAATGACCACTGTCTTGATATGCACCTTCTTTACAGTCAACAAACAGCTCACCTTGTCGCGGGGAGGGTGGAAGCAGCTTTATCCCGTTTAGATGGCAGGCTATCGTCCAAAACGCAATTATAGGATCAACATGGGGAATAAACTCGCCTTTCAGAATAGACAACCGACCTAATCCACATCCATTTACAGACGCCCCACCGACTTTATCAACGACGGGTTGAACCAGACTGAACTTCCTTGTTTGAAACAGGTGCCTGACCAAGATCGAAGTCCACAAACTCGGTGAATAAAATCTCGCAACAAAAAAAACTTGACAATTGTGTCGTAGCTTGTAGCGTTTACTCTGAGAAACCCGTGGAAAAGACTGACTTTCAAGGTAAACGACGAGGATTTGAATGTTTCCTTAAGCGGCGAGCCGGAGGCGCAGTAGAGATCAACAGGTTGAGCACAGGTAAATAGGTCACGTGTCCGCAGCTCCACGTGTGTCGTCATCACGTCGGCTTTATGTGGGACACATTACGTATCGGCCAACGAAAAAGTATTACGCTTTTGGAAAATCATGGAATATGTACTTGTATTGCCTCAATCTGTTCTGTATGCGTTGCTACTGTTTACTTGATTTTTTGGTTTGTTATACTTTTGTTAATAAGAAAAAGATTACGTTGTAGCCAAAGGTAAAGTCTTGACTAAAATATTCCATATCTAATATTTGTATTACCATTTACTTACATATATGGGCTACTGCATTTTCAATACAATCAACCACCAATTTAGAAATAATAGAAAATCAAGCATAAAGTTGAACAAACACCTCTCTGATGCAATTAAACATAGAAAATAAGATTGACAATTGGCATATGTATGCAGGTTATACTGTACATCCATGTTTTACTAGCTTGATGTTACAAGAATAAGTGAGACATAAAATCAACTTTACAAAGTCATGGCTCTTATCACATCCTATATATTATATTCAATCACACAAACACGATTCCAAATGACTCACATATTACAGATTCCTTTCATCTATTACATTGTACACATTTCTAATGATGCTAAATCAATAGTCCTTCCAGCAGATGGATCATTAGTATAGTTCTCATTGCTCTGTGCTTTCGGGCATGATCTGCATCAAAACACTGCAAATACAGAATGCATTCCTTTGAAATGTGTTGAAAATCATTCCAAATGGATGTTTAACTGCATTTAACGCAGTGTAACACAGATGTGATTGATAAATAAAGCAAACTACAAAGACTAGACAAGGTCCAATCTTCCAGTTTGATGTGAATATTGGTGACGCTTAAAATATTTAATATTTATCCAGTGCAAAGCCTAAAACATCCTTTACTGGGGCTGAGAAGACAGAAAAACAACAAGTTTTAAAAGTGGTCTATTTAGCTTTATTTCTACATTCTCTTAATGAACACATTTTTAATATTTGCATCCGGAAAAAAAATAAAAATAGCAAACAGTATGAAGTATTACTAACAAACAGAAGGAATAAGGTCAATACATATTTCACACAGGGATGAACTGGAGCTATTTGCAAACTATAACTTAGTCAACGAACATTCTTCCATTTTCTGAGAGCACAGTGGCTTTCAGAAAATCTTTCTTTCCAACAAGACAAACTGTAAAATATTTTCAAGAAAACTTTACTGGCTCAACAAATCAAACATAACAGAGTCAATGAAATTGGTATCAAATATTTCTGTCTCGCAGCACAAGCATCAGTTGTTTTCTTTCTTCAAATCACAGACTGCCATTTAGTAAATAGTAAAGTCTTTCCGATTAAAAGAAAAACACAGAAGAATGTGACATTTGGGGCATCCAGAGGCTTGTATTTCAGCCAGCCTTCAGGCTGTGTGTCCATTATGTTGACTCCCTACCAGACTTGACAACTTTTGATGATCTCTTTCATTTGTTTTATTGCATCCATGGTGGAATCCTTGAGTGCCAGACCCATTAAGACAGGCTTGTTGCCAGCTTCTTGTGACACAAAAGTTGCCAGGTTTTTGGCACAAACATGTGTCAGTGGCTGAAAAGTGAAACACAAATCAGGGGTTAGATTATCACACAGATAAATGTTTTGATGCAACATGTTTACGTCAGAAGAAAATGAACCGATTAACATGAATGACTTCTACAATCTTCGTACGTGCAAAAGCCTGGCCTGAGAAACTCCACTGATAAAATGAGGACATTACACCTGTAGCACTTCACTGGCATGGACACCTTATCTATTTATGCCATGTTTGATATTATGTGCATCAATAATCTCCTCATCTATTTAACATATCTTCAAACACTGAGGTTTTAGAGGTATCAGCTCACTTTCCAAATCATTCCCACTGCACCAAGTTTGACATGACAAAATAAAAAAAACTTTTCCAATTACATTCTGTGCCGCTGCCATCGCCTGTGTGGTAAACAGTTAGAACTCGCCTTTACTGTCATGCAGCATTATTGATTGGGCTATATCACACACACACCAGGAGAAAAGTAATTTCTTTCTGTGAAGTTCTCCCAAAATAAGCAGCATTAGCACGACTCTAAATATGACTTACAATATGATTACATTTTAATAAAACCCCTGATGTGGCTGTGGCAGGTTGTCTGGCTGCTGTGAAATCCACTAAACTTTCTAATAACAGAGATGAAGACTCGGCTGTTGACTTAAAGCTTGATTACATTACATAACAGCATTCAATCATGATCGTTCTTACAGTCTGTGTGACTGGGCTTCAACACTGTGCTTTCCTCCCCGAGTCAAAACCCCCACACCTTACACGAGAGTGCAAGTATTGTCTTTAAAAAGAACCTGCACTGTCAATTCCACAAGCAGACATAATTATACTCCATTTATCTTTTGATAATCCATGTCTAGCACTGAACGCCAGTTAGAAATGACATGCTAATGCAGAGCTGAAATAGGTGCAAACTTTAACAGCCCACTGAACTCCATGCCTCCTTCCCATCCACCACAGCAATTCAGAACCAATCCTATCTGCCCTTTGACAGCATGAAATGAGTTACCCTGTGTTGCAATAATCTGTCTGATGCCCTGTGAACAAGTCTATAACGCACTGATTCATCAGAACAATTTCATCCAGCGTACCTCGTCTTTGCCCAGCAGTACTTTGGTGGAGAACGCTGGGGTGCTGATATCATTAGATCTGGAGTCAGGTGTGACAGATATCAATGTCCCCATTTTTCCGTACTGAGTGAGAACTATGAATATGTAATTGCTGAACTCTGTACAGACGACCTGTGTTGAAATTCCATTGACTTCTTTCTCTGTCTGTCTCGATCTGATGACGGGCTCAGTAGAAGACATTTTGTCGATCCTGGGGAAGAAAAAGAAACAGGAAATGGTACATGACAACGTATTTGAAAGGCTGCAGCTAAAGAGTATCTTCACTACTGATTATTCTGCCAGCCATTTGTTTGTTTCATAACTTATCTGATTATCAATTTTAGTGATAAGATGTCAGAAAATAGTGAAAAATGGTCATCACAATCTCCTAGAGCCCAGGGCGACAACCAAAATTCGGAAATATACAATCATATCAGTTTACTACCATATATGACAAAGAAAAGCGTCACACATTTGACAAGGTGGTGCAGCAAATGTTTGGTATTTTTGCTTCTAAAATGGCAGTTGCCAAATAATAAATGTAAAACGACTCATCAAAAATCGACAAATCCTTTCAGTACTAGATTAACAACACGCACACATTTGTTTTTTGTGGAAGTAATGACATTTATAAGTTATTACATTTAACAGGTGTAGTTCAATTCTGTTTATACCACTGACAATGTCAATTGTGTTATGATCACAGAGATGTTTATCATCTATTCAACACGTCTTATCACTATGTACTTGACTCCTCCTGTGTATTTGTATTCATATGGTCATATTCTGCCCTTACTTATTCTATATAGATTCAAATGTTTTGGATGTTATTGATGCTGTGACTGTAGAAATGTGAGTCTGACGCCAGTTGTCTGCTGGCCCACTTGTATTCAGGACGTCGCTCCTTCCCCTAACTGTACTGTGCATCTATTTTCTATCGTGTGTTTGCAGAAAAACCAACTACCCCCCGGGAACAAAAGTAAAGTTGAAGTTGTATAACGACTTACAGTCACTTCTACAAATAACTTTACGGAAATAATTTATGTGGAAATAATCGTCAAAGATGAGATTCAAACAAATGGTTACAGTCTCATATTGCACATTGTGAGCAGCCAAGTACAGACACAGCAGCTAAGTGCAGAAGCAGCAGCTAAGTACTAAGTACAGAAGTATTTGAGAGTTGTGTCCTCACTAAAATCTACATCCCATCACTTGCAGAGGCCATATTATTACTTTCCAGCGGAGTAACGTTAACTAAGTGAAACAAAAGCTCCGCAGAGGTGATGCTCAGCTTTGAGGAAGTACTGACATGCAGAGGCTAACGTTAGCCAAACAGCTAACCTTACTGTTTGCTCCGGTTGTAATCGTCATAGTTGACATTACAATGAACAGATCAGCGTGTGTGTGAAATAAAATACAAATCCTCACTCTGTTACTTCGTCTGTGGAAAGCGGAAAGCTCCGTCTGCACTTAAACACTTCACTTTCTGCAACTTCTGCAGCGATCTGTAGTGCTCTGTCGCCGTAAGATATCTATGCGTGATGACGTAGCTGAAGTCACGTCTTACTTCCGGGATAGTTTCTGTTCAATTTCAAACTAATTAGAGGAATTCTGAGGTCCTTCATCATGTAAAACTGAAACAAAATGTGATATTTTATGTGTGGGCATAATTGGTCAAATAACTTTCAGATTCAGATTATTAGTATCCAACAACTACAGCTCATATGAGGCTTTTCAGTGGTTAAGACTGAATAAAATCATGTCTAATAAACTATTTGCCTCCGATTAAATGCCTCCTTTTGAAATTGAGTAATTTTACAGATTTGGCAAAGGATTTTGCAATAATTTCTCGATTCAATTAAAGACCTTTGTTATCCCAGGTAATATTTAATTGAATTAAATCAAATGAAAAACAAAGAATAGAGAAGTGTGTATATTTTAATAAAGCAAATACATGATCATAAGAACAACTGTTACCATAAATGTTTAAATCCAGAAGGAACCTGCAGCTGAGTGGGTAACTAGTGTCTCAAAAGATATCATGTTGAGTTTGGGTTAAAAAAAAACAGTGTATTCTTTCAGAATAATTTTCTGTCATTGGCATTGCCCTCATACTGAACCTTCCTTACAGGTTCACCAGAACTACAGTAAAAACTAAATAAATTAGTGTTTATCTTTGTTTTTCTCACAAAGCATATTCAAGGTTCCAGCATTGTTCACAATACCACAACTATACATGAAGGAACTTCAAACCATCTCACTGTTGCGCAGGCACATAACTAGTCTGTGTGAGTCCGGACAAGTACGAAGTGTTGTAATATAGTTTTAGTGAGGCTGCATGTGGCTAAATGTGGCCCCCATTTAGTTCAACTCATCAAGACTTTTCTTAATTTTTTTTATTCTCTGTTCAACGTGGAAGCATGCGAGCAAAACAAAGTTTTCTTCAAGAATTTAAGGTAATACAGGGCAAGTCATTGATACACAAATGGTTATTTTGTGGGTGAAGTATTCCTTTAATCTGCATAGTAATTTTCATAGAAATGACTGTGATGAAGTAAGGACGATTCAACTGAACTTAATTAAGTATTATCAAGAGTGAATGTCTTAGAGTTTAAAATTAAGCCGATCCTCTGCCCTGGTACATTTCAATCAATATTAAGTAATAGAAACAAATCTTCCAAAGCAAGAAACCACAGAGGCAAGATGTTTTCTAATTAACTGTCAATGGAGCTTTACTTTTAAGAGCAGATAAAGAAATTTAAACTATTTTTTATTTTTAACTTATTTTTGAATTAAATAGTGGCAGTAGATAGAGAGGACTGGAGGACATTTTTTGATTGCTTGAATCTGGTTAATACATTTATGATACAGATGAAATGGAAGTATAAATAGTCCATGAATTGTTTTAATTTTTAGCGCATCCATTATGAAAACCAACTGAAAAAGTGTTTTTAGCTTGGTATTGACCTGACATTTTAACTGCATTCAGATGTTAGGCTCTGCAAGGACAATTTAGTAGGACCTTTACATTTTGGCTACATTTGCCAACTACAGCAGTCACATCTGCATTTACAGCTACAGGAGAGGCAAGCAGTGCAGGAATTGTCACTGTTAGAAAAAGTGCTTGCATGACCTTTTTTTTCAGGTGGATGTGAGGCTCCACTGAAGTCTGCAAGTGCTGCATCAGGCTGACTGATCCAAAAGGAGCCATCCTCATGAACATGACACACTCACAATGTCAAATAGCGCCGGCTCAGCGGAATTGTTATGCACCCTGAGTAGGCAGCAGTAGGTATGAAATTGGTTGGACCGCTCCCTATACTCCCTGGCTGACCATCTGTGTCCTTCAGTGATCATTTTGATACAAAAAAAAAATTGTAATGCAAAGATCAATGCGCAACATTTTAGCATTATTTGTGTAATGTACTGTCACCGAAATCTATCATGGTATATTCACGTGAACTAGCAAAGCACAAAAATGTTCATGAAAGGCCACAGTGAGGTAATGAAGATGTTTAATATATTATGATATTAAAAAAACATTTTGGAATGAATATGCATTACTTCCAATGAATATGCATAACTATGCCAAAAGGCAAGTCACTTATTCTTGAGAATAGAAAACTCCAAATACAAATCATAGACTGTATATAAGAAGTAGACGTAGTCCCGTTGACATCGCCGCTTGGTTTGTGCACTGCTGTTTTCAAGACTTGAGTTTGGCATTTTTGCCGTCGGCATCTTTTTTTTTTCTTTAAACCATAAGTGACCTGAGAGGGTGTAGCTAGCACAACAACTGAAAACACACTGTGAAAGGGTAAAGTTGTAAGACGAAAACACGGACAACTCTCAGACCAGACAACGCCATGGTAACCACCTGTCAATTACAAGGTAGCCCCGCCCTAAAGCATACCCTGCTTTATTGTCTATTTTACTCTAAATGGAACAAAAACTTACGAAATGAACATCACGCTGTATTGAAGAAGACTTGCAACTAGCGATTGAGACCATAAAATCATGTTGCCGCCTGCTACAAACAGACAAACAGCAACATGTTCCCCTTGACACTTGTCATACATCATAATATAAAACACACCAGAACAGCGTCATAAAAGCTTCACGACATATTCATGAATTTTGTTCAAATCAGTTTGAATGAAATGTCCACGAGGCCCTTGCTATTTATTACCCTCAGCTATGGAATGAAAACACCGATATACCGTTTTCCATATCATTGCATTTGGTTGAACGTTGCCAAATTCACAAATGTCAGTTTCTGTTCAGGAACTTAGAGAAAATACTCATAGCAGGTTTATCCAGTGGGTCATGAGAAGATTTTTACAATAGGAAATGTGTAATGAGTTTCTAATTACTCATTTCATGTAATGTTTCTTTGTGAATAAGTAAGGACTTGTTTTGCATAATGAATAGTAGACTAATGGTTAAAGTGGCTGTTTCAGGCTATTGAGGGTCCTTGAGCTGTTTCCAGGAAAAAGCAGTAGTCTAATCCCTTTTAATTTGATTCATATGAAGATATACAGGTTGTGAATTATTAGTGAATTATTTTCAAAACAAAGGCTTTTTATTCTTCCTTCTTTCCACTCCTCTTGCTACTCCAACCTTTTCCATCTCATCTGCCATGTTAACAATCATAGCCTTGAAGCTAGAGGGAATGCATTGGTGGGCCTTGAAATCAGAATCTTTGGATTACACATCAAAGAAGGGCAGGATTTACATTGTAGTTGTCGTTATGTAAAATGGTGTGAACTCATCAACATGTACTGTGGATGTGGATGACGGTTCGCCAAGTCAAATTTAGGAACCAGATGCCCCTTTAAACTGTCTTGGAAGAAAAAGAGTTGATGGTGCTTAAGGGTTCTCAATTTTACAAACATCTTATCTGTGTCTGTATGACTAGTCAAGCGTTTTCTCTTTCTCTATCTGTCTCACACACAGACACTCTGTAGTAAAATGTCATCCCAGATGAAAATATTTGCTAGATGAGGCAGCTCCCATCACCACCCTGCATTTCGTCTTCACATTTAAATTTGCTGCTTTTGTTTATGTCATCAAGTCTCTCTTTGGTATGCACTGAATACGTTCACGCAGACTCATTTTTGTCTCTTTGCGCCTTTTGAATAATAACTAACTCAATATTAGGTCATCGGTCATCGGTGCAACTTCATGCCTCAGTACATTCCACAGTCACAAATTCTCACTTACACACGAATACATACACACACATAGACAATTATTACCCTTGTGGCCACTAGAGTGCTGTGCTGTATTACAGATAGAGCTCAATGGCGACTTTACCATGACATTTGAAAGCTGTGCTCATGCCTCATGAGGTTAACCCCTGGGGTTAGTTTCCATTAAGTGTTTTTTTTAAAACAAGCAATGAAAAACCCAAAGGGGAGAATACAACCTGTTCAGGGCATTTGTTAGAAAGACTAAGCAAACTGTGATTTACCTTTTCTTGCTCCAGACCTACAAAAGTGTTATTCTAGTGTATTGTAATAGTGGTTTTAGTATGACAATATGATTTCTTTGAGTTTGGTCTTTGTTTTTTGCTTGAGACAAAAAAAACACCTAAATCAGTATGAACAACACAAAGTTAAGCAACAATTTGTAAACATTGTATCATCCAATAGCAGAAGATTACCATAATCTAGGGAGACAGGAATTAATAACCAACAAAGATTACTTCAACAACAGAGGTTTCGGATTTTGAAATAGCACTTTTGAACTGTACAAAAAAATATCTGCCTGTTGAAATTACATGCTTGAGCAGTCTCTGATCTACTTTCCATTTTTCTTTCAACTTTTCAACAGTGGCAGACATTAACACAAGCCAGTGTTGAGAAAAGCAAGACATTCTCAAGCACAAAAAAACCTTTTATTTCAGTATATTGCACCATAAAAGAGGTAATCATTTCTTATGTTTCACAAATCATGTTTCTATTGTTTTTCTGCTGGTTTGGGTTGTGACTGACAGAAGAGATATTGAAATATTCTGGAGACGAAAACAGAAACCAGAGAAGCAGCAAAGACACATCTCATTCTGTCTCATCTCAGCTCTTCGCAGCGCTCCAGAAATCATGACTGCAACACCTTTCAAAGGTTTAACATTCGAATGCTTTGTTAAACGGCTCCGTGCTCCTCAAACACGCAAAAGCAGAGACACGAGAACATAAGACATGAATTCCATATAACTATAGAAAAAAAGATTTCAAATAGCTGCATCAGAAAATGTATCGTGACTGATTTAAGTGTCTTTGCAATGTTGATATGTGGCATACAAGAGTCAGACATTCATTTCTTTACTTTTCTTTCCATGTCGCCAGTGAAAAAGAAGATGCTCTGCTCCTGTTTACTGGCAGTGGACAGTGGCCCTGCACGTGTGAGTACACAAACCAGTAGCCAGTATGTAAAAGTTTCTACCAAAAACTGATGCAGAGGCAGCAATTAATACCTTAAGCCGGTGTAATTAAGTTGATGCTGTGGAAGTAAGAAACATAGAGGTAATGCTGAGGTAATCTTTTAATCCAACTA